TTAAGTGAGTTTTGTTGTTGTTTTTTATAAATATTTTCTATTTTTAATGCAAATTCTAATATATTTACAGTGTTATTCTGTTATTTTTCAGGTGATCATCTTCCATCATAAGCCTGCATTTTAAAGGAGGTATACTTCATAATTTTATCTTCTTCTGTGCTTATTTTGGGCAAAATAGTATTATACACAGAAAAAAGTTAAATAACTAAAAAAAAAAAAAGATAATAATTTGCATGTTAATCAGAAAATAAATAAATACATTTAAGTTGTTTTTTTTAAAAAAGGCAAAAAAATGTAAACAATGTCCACAATAAATTTATTTTGGAATTTATTTTTAAAAATATTTTACAGTCATTTTATTGTAACTTTACAACCATTTCTGTAGTTAAGAGATTTTATCATGTTTTTCTATTTTTAATACAAATTCTAATATATTTATAGTATTGTGACATTTGTATGTTTATTGTTAAATTATTTTATAAAACAGATATATGCTGCATTTATGGTGCACACGGTGGGATAACAGATTTTTTTTTCAGATTTTATTTTATTTTTTAATATCATTTTTTACAGTGTATCTGATCTCAACAGGTTCTATAACATGCAAATCAGACCAGAATAAAAATGTGGAGAAAAAAAAGAAAGAAAAGTTGGTCTCCTGAGAGAAACTTTGGCGCCCCTGATGTAGGGCTGAGTGCAGGCTAAAGGTCAGCTCCTGACTCTGCTGCTGAAGCTTTGTTCGCCTGCACGGGGGCGATGACGCCTGTCAATCAAGCCGCTCCGGAGACCTTTATATCGTGACAAAAGGCCGAACGCAGGCTATTGAGCCAGACACGGGTCCCTTCATGAGAAATGTCATGGATGTTGTGATAAAAAAAATGAGGTCAGCCGTGTGCGCAGTGCGAGCAGCGGGAATTTTTCTGTGTGATGTCAGAGCGTGTCAGCGTCGCCTCGCCGTGTCATCGCGGCTTTCTGCTCAGTGATACATCGGCTGTTATTGCGGCGCCCGCTGATGTGTGTGTGTAGGCGGCGTGCAGATGTGCGGCTTTGTGTGTGGTCGGTAGGTGACGTGGTGTGATGCATGTCTTTAATAACAGTCCATTAGCTCTCTGCATGTGTGTCTCTCTTGTGTTGCGTCCCTGAGAGTGTGTGAAAACACAACGCGGCCTTGTGTGTTGGACGTGGCCGCCGATGGGCCGTGAATCAGAGCCCAGCGTGCTGTTATTTCATGTTACTCCCACCGGGATCGGCCGTCTGTTATCCCTCAGCTCAAGGTTCACTGACCTCCCAACCATATTTTTCTTCTTTCCCTCCTTTGTTTTTCACTTTCTCATCCCTTCCCCCCCACATTCGTTTCATCTTTCGGGCCTTTTCTCACACCCTTCTTGCTCTCTCGACAGATCCACATATTTACTCCCTTTTTTTTTAAATCCGACAAAGATAGTTTTAAGCAGTGGCCCTGTAGCTGGCGTCTAAAAGCACATGGCAGTAACATGCTGGAAAGCAAAAAATTTCCCTCCGAAATATCTCCCTATCCCACGCAAATCTATTCAGCAGCACACGAGCGCTGACAAAACGCGCCGAAATCCGCTGATCTCGAACGCTGCTCGCCCACCACAACAGCAGGCCATAACTAATCCATCTCCCACTACATGTTTTTAATGAGCCTCCATAACCGTAATCCGTATGGTGCAGTGCAGCGCAGGCCAAATCGAGCTGTTTGCATGACTTTGTGCTGTCAGCAAAATGTGACAAGGGACACATGTGTGTTTATGTGTGTGTGCGTGTGTGTTTTACTGTCACCGAGCATCTGTGTTGTCGGTGTGCCATCCCGGTTGATGATTTTCCATCTGGTAGATATGTGTGTGTGTGTGTGTGTGTGTGAGAGAATGCATGTGTGTTTATTGTCTAAACACAGGATCGGCCTGTTTACCTGCATCCTCGTCTGAAAATGCGGCAGGATTATTGGAAGCAGAGGCTGATGGGAGTGGCGGCAGTGTGTTGTGTGTGTGTGTGTGTGTGTGTGGAGAGGTAGAAGCTGCCAGGCCCTTTTCAGAAACCCCCATGGGGAACAACATTAGGGTCCTCCGGGGGCCAAATTAGAGTCAGCTAACCAAGTTAGAGATCGGCAGCAGAGGGGGTCTGACTGGCAGGGATGGACTGAATTCACTCCAGCCCCCTGAACAAACACACACACACACCCGTACACACACACCTCTCTTTGTTTTTGCCGCTGATCAGCAGAAGATAAAAGCCAGTTCCTGACAATAGCAGCCTCTCTGTTGGGGAGTCTGCAGGGAGATCCTGACAGAGTGGAAGAGCTGTAATGTATTCCTGCAGGTCAGCCTGGATTAGTGAGTCTGTATCAAGGGGAAGCAATTTGGACTCATTTAGCCTTTAAAACAGGACTTTCTTTCCATGAAATCTTATTATGGTTTTGAACCATACGTTATGTTCTTACAGGAAAACTTCCACAAACACGGTGAAATATGATTAGAGTTTATTCATTTATACAGATATGTGCAAAAGTTTGGGCTCCTCTGAGATAATAAACCACTTTAGGAAATAGATATTTAAAGAGTCTTTCTTGAAACGTTAGTACACTTCAAAAAAAGATAAGTTTGGGCTCCTTCTACGTGTCAAAACCTCACACCTTAACTCCTTTTTGGGCATATTAGGACCTGTAAAGAAGCTCAAAAGGTGTCAAATGAATCGTCAGTATCGGCTGGATATAAAAGATGGCCGCTACCATTTTGAATCCTCGAGTCTGGAATGTGGCCATGTTTTTAAAAAGAGCCAGGAAGCACTGCACAGGTGTAACAATCCACCAGTGAAATCAGAGCCCACTGAATGCACTGTTAGGTTTGTTGGACCAGCATTTGCTCAGAGTTGCAGCTGCTATAGGGAACTAGTGAGCCTTTTCTAGAAAATCAAACAGTTGCTTTTTAACTCTACACATGTCAAAGCAGTCATTTCAAAATGCTCTTTCAGATCCCAGGAGCAAACAGAAGATTGGTGACGATGTAGAGTCCATGAAGTCGTGAAAAAGAGGATTTATGAGGTAGAAGTAGCTGCCATGTAAAGATGATGAGCTACGCTCTGGCTGAAGCTTCTTTTTAAATTAAAACGTGCTGAACTGCTGTAACGTTGGACATAAAAACTAAACATATAGCAGCCAGGTTTTTACTCAAAATAGGCTGGTTAACATAATGTTCTGTCTGGTTATAGCCACACGAGTACTAAAAGGCTGGGCAGATGGGGAAATTGTTCTAAATATATAGTCGGTACACACTGAGGGTCAGTCAGTATAAAAACCTACGAGGGCCCGAATCAGCAGAGATGAACATGGCAGTGTTGTTGTGATCTGCTCACTACAAAAGCAATAGAAGGAAGACTGCCATCTGATTTAGACGTTTATCATGAAATGGCTGCAGATCATTCCCATACATAGAGGCCTCCTCCATCTTCCGTGAGGCCAGAAGGTGCATCCATTCTGATTACTGGTAAGCAGGAAGTAACCCCAGTAGCATAGGCGACCGCTTGTGTTTGTGTAAATATGTGCAAATTTCCCGAGCCTCCTTGCTAGCCTACAAAATGAAGCTTTGTAATGTGGCTGCAGAATGCATTTTACCCCAAACCATAATCCAAACTTAAACGTTTAAGTGGAAAATGAAAGTCAAAACAAGGCTTGAGTGAACAATTTAAACCAGAATAATGGACCGAATAGGACTGACAAACCCCTCCACCAACCCCTACAACCTCCTTTCCTCTTTGTAATGGCTACACCACCATTAAAAGAGCTGATAACGGACCACTTAGGCCTACTAGGAGGTGAAGGAGGCACCTGCTGGTTCACATGTAAGGAAATGATCTGCAGTGATGATGACCTTTTAATGGGCTGCATGTTTTTGGGATTACAATCTGTCCAAACAGCAACTGTGGCAAAAAGACAAGAGCGTTACCCAGAAGGCTGATAAAAGACATGTTATCAAGCAGATGTGGCTGATAATTAAATATAGTGGAAACAAACACATGAATTCTAAAACCCACCATTGTTCTTATTATATATGTGAATGATGCATGAAGCTACATCTATCTAAGGCAAAGTTGGCATTTTAAAAGGCTGCGTGATGAGACTGCATTCTGAACACTATATAAAATTATGCTCATGTCTACAATATTTATGTCTGTAATTACAGGCCACTCATAAATTCCACCCAGTAGTATCATATACTGTAACTTTAGTGCAGCACAGGCACATTTGAATTATGTATAGTGTGATATAGCACTGTAAAGTTTTTTTTTTTTTCAAATGCAAGGAAACTTGAGTGTTAAATTAAGAGTTTAAACAGACCCTGAAATATCTCGCCGTCTCGGGATTGACAACAGGTGGAACATGTCGCGCACACACCACCACCCGACACACATGGCGGCGGTGACATTTGTGAAGCCTCGCGCTTGCCCGATCATAAATCTCCGTTTTATGAGCTGAACTCTGCAGACTGTTGACCGCGTCGCCTTGACATTCAAGACCACGCGGCGCAGAAAACCAAGGGGTCCAAACTCCCCGAGAGCGCTGATTGATTTGCCTCACGAGGGCACTGAAAGCCACTCGCTGTTAGGGGTCAGACGTGTTTCTGTTTACCGACGTCTTTGTTCATTATCGTGGTGGCAAGTGGAGATTTGGCAGATGGCGGCGTTAGGAATGCGCGGCACTTTTTTTTTTTTGCTCTTTTTCACGTCAGAAATAGACACATCATAATTTACTGAAGCAAAAGAGTAAATAATCTGAATTTTTGTGAGTGCACAGCCAAGCAGCTTTCATCCAGAGAGCAAAGGAAGGCTTCAAGTTTTGATTCCTCCAGGCTGGAACCCAATCAAGTCAATTAGCAGAAGGTGGGGCTGCAGCCACTTCAGTGTTGAGGAGACAAAGGCAGCAGTGCTCTCTGGAAACACCAACAAAACAAAAAAATACTCTGGTTTTTGTGTGAAAGGTTGTAATGGGGTTCAGAGGAGCAGTTCTGTTGGGCTTTGCGCTTCTCTTCTCAGGTGGGAATTTTCGCTCGGCTGCACAAAACTGGTTTAACTTCAGCACCAATGAGACTCTAAACCCAATCCCCCAAGAGCGAGCGGCGGCAGGCCTCCAGCTGCAGAGATCACCGCAGACAACACATCATCAGTCAAACCAGATGGAGCGAAAGGTTCCGGCCGACTCTCCCGTCAGCTACCGCCTCAGGAGCTACTGGCTCAGGAACCCGGCCGACAGCGAACAGAACCCGCGTGAGGAGCAGAACCCGCAGAGAGTCGAGGCCGGAGAGGTGACCTCGGAGCAGAGGGAAGCTGGAAAGATGGGAAAAGTTCAAATTCAAGGCCCGGATCTGAGCGTCCCCGCCAAGAAGGAACCAAAGGTAGTTTAAAACATGTATTTGACCACGCAGACGGTTCTTTTTTATGCACCACATGAGTTCAATGGATTTGACGTTCCAGGCGCTGGTGAAGTTTGAGCAGCGGGTGCCGGTGCCAGCTCAGAGCGTGAGCGTGCGCTGTGGCGAAGAAAAGGTCACCATAGAGGTCAAGCAGAACTTCTTAGGTAATGGCTGCCGGTTACTTGTTTGAATTGATGTTTTTTTTTTCCTGCAATGGCTCCATTTACCATGGCTTCTGCTCTGATGTCTGAAAAAGAAAAGGGTCCGATTAGAGGCCCGAAATTGGAAAATTGAATGGAACAGTGAAGATGGGACACTCAGTGCTGATTACTGCAAATGGCACAGACTATGGAGCGGGCGATCAATATTATGTTTCCTCTTATTTCTTCACTCTGAGAAGGGGGCATCCTGCTTGTCTGCTGGGTGCTCAAATGCTGACTTTACAGCGACGCATTAAGAACCTTTTTTTATTTGTCCTGCAGCTGAACCTCCACTTGCCGTGAGTGTTATTGACTGGAGATGGAAAAAAAACGGCTTCAGGTAATGGTCTCGGTTTCAAGTTGTGCCTTTTTTTTGTTCTTAGGAAACAGTCAGTTCATCCATCCAAGTGATCTGACCTTAGGAGGCTGCGCCGCCGTGAACGCTGCCGACCGCGTCCTGCAGTTCCAGACGGAGTTACACGACTGTGGCAGCGTCATGACGGTGTGTGTTCCTGCCTCCATCTACTGTGTTGGGTATTTGAAGTCGCCCTATAACCGCTTTTTGCTCTTCCTCCAGATGACTGACGAAGCCCTCATCTACACATTCTTCCTGATGTACTCTCCGACGCCCATTATCAACACTTTCATTTTAAAGACCAACCCCGCTGAGGTGATAATTCAATGCCACTATCAAAGGTAAAGCCTCCTTGTTTGATATCTGACAAGTCAAAGTGGAGTCCTGCTGTTAGCACAAATTATTCAGGGGATCTGCAGATCTTAAAGTCTTGCATGTAGTTCAGTTAGAACGGGGTCTCTCCGAGTCCAAACCTCCGTTCCATCCGCATCGAGGCCACGTGTTCGGAAGCTAAGGTCTCAGTTTTGCTAATGAATTTCTATTGATTAGTAAATTGTTAGAGACACTGAGTGTACAATTAATCACAGCAACTCTGTCCCCTGACAAATGCGGTTTTAATTTAGTTTATTCCCCTCGCATCGTTGTCATGGCGACAGTCTTGTTCATTATTGTTGAATATTCGCTATCGGCTCCTGAATTTCAGACACAGAAGGTGTGTAGTTGTTCTCCTGTGCACAAATTCTACAGATTGTGTAAATTTAGGAAGAGTCAGAAGTAGATATGAGGTAATTGTTTGAGCCGTGTCTGCTTCGGTGATGCTGGCTCGTGCACAAGAGGTGTGATGTTTGTGGTTTAATGTCAAGTTCAGAGGTCACACTGATGCAAACAATGTCATTTCTCCCACTAGACTTGAATGTATTTGACTATTTTAACTGTCGTATGTTGCTTCAGAAGTTTTAACTGAGCTCATTTGATGTTTTTAGCTATTGCCAAATGTTCCAGACAATTGATCTTGAATAAAAATCTGATGCGTCCCATTAATTAAAACTAAGGTCTTCAATTAAAACAGTGATACAGTTTCTGTCAGTCAAGAGTGCTTAAATTAAAATCCCTCTCCAGGTGTTGATTTAACTCCTGAAACTCGTCTGTGTATCAAATTTGCATATTTCCATGAAAATAACCCCTTCCTGCCCTGCTTGTTGCAGCTCGAGTACACCAGCTCACCGACAACTACACTACACACTGGCAACTTGTAGTATTTGGGTAAATCAGCCATACATGTTGAAACCAGGCACTGATTCTGATGAAAAATGATACGAAAAGCAAGTTCGGTTTGTTGCATATGAAGCCATGTGGAAGTCTGAATTCATGTTTTTCGAGGCAGAAATATAGAAAATATAACTTACTTCTAGCGTAGCACTTAGCTCGAGCACTCTAAGTTTCTTTTATTAGTATTAGAAAAGTGCAGAAAAGTTGTTAACTTAAAAAAAAAGAAGCATTCTACTGGTTGTCATTCATATTTCCATTGAACAGCCTTTTAAACTGCATTCTAAACTGTATTAACTTGGAGCCCTCTTCTAGTCATTTTTACATCCCTACCTGTTTAATCTTGTCCCTTCTCCTCCTCTATTGTAAATATTCGTCTTCCCTCTCTCATAACAAACCCATCCTTCCTCTAACTGTCCTCACAGGAGGCATTACGTGAGCAGCAACGCCGTGAAGCCTACCTGGAAGCCGTTCGCCCTCAACGTGCACGCCCATCAGCAGCTGCACTTCTCCCTGCGTCTCATGACAGGTGGGAGAAAGAGCTGATGTTCTATACTTGTAGGAGGAGGGGGAAACAAACAAAAAACAACTTTTGATTTGCACCAGGCGGTCTGGCTAATTTCCCCGGCGACGGGCGTAATTGCAATCACTCAGGGGCCTGGCAGACTTTTTGCAGCGACTCTTAAAGATGCTAAACGGGGGAGACTTGATAAACGGGAGCGAAACTTTTGATGCATGGTGATGAGCTGAAATTACATGCCTCGTAGGCTGCAGCTGACCCAACGGGGTCACTCGCGCAATAAAGTGATCAATATAGAGCTGATTATGTTTTCTAATTAATTCCGAGCTACGCGCTGCAGATACTAACTGCACCGAGCTGGTCTGGGCCTCCGCTGATTGGCTTAAACCAAGCAGGAAGTTATGGAAGGAAATGATGAGAGTTTTAAACTAGTTTCCCTCATTTGTGATCCAGGTTCATGATGATGCTGCGTCTGTAATTCATTTATTGCCCTCTTCAAAGGACTTGTTTTCTATATCCTTCCACTCTCTCCCACGGGCATCATTTCATCTAATCAGATTGATGGCCCCACTCCACTTATATCTATTTTTTTTCCCCCCTCTCTCCTGTATTTGATTAGAGGACTGGCAGTCACCGAGGCCTTCCACTGTTTACTTCCTGAGTGACGTGATGCACATCGAAGCGTCGGCGCTGCAGGGTCACCACGTTCCTCTCAGGGTCTACGTGGACAGCTGCGTGGCTACGGTGACCCCCGATCCCCACTCGCAGCCCAGATACTCCTTCATCAACAACCACGGGTGAGAAATGTGCGGATTGGCAGGACGGTTTACACCAAAGTGACGGCGAATCTACACAATCAGGTGGTCGTGTTTGTCTCGAGGAGGCAGCAAGTCATAATAATGGAGATTTATGTCTGACGAGCTCATGCTGAACATATTAAGAGTTGGAGTGAGTGGTCGGTTCTGTGTTTATGAATATGAATCCTTTGCTCTTTTTTTTTTTTGCCATTATAAGGTGTTTAACTGATGCTAAGCTGACAGGAGCCAAGTCTTACTTCATGCCGAGGAGCCAGGAGGATAAACTTCATTTCCAGCTGAAAGCCTTCAGGTTCCACGAGGATGACAGGAATTCAGTGAGTACAGCTGCACCGCCTGACGTGTTTATACACTTTGAAAACTACTGATTGTGCATCGTTTAGTCACACTTTTTTTTCAGGTTTTTCACGTCACTGTCGAGAGGTGCGTTTTGCAGCACCCAATGTGTTAGCTTAACCTTTTTTTTCCCCCCCTACTCCTGGTGTTATGTGCAAAGTTGGCACATATTATATACACTTGCAAGTGTTTCCAGCCTATAATAACCTCAGAAGCTCGCTGTGGAAATGAATCTCCCTCTGAGGTCGTATTGAACTCAATACCTTCTTATATAGGATGAAGAAGCCAGAGTGGATGTTTGCCAATATCGGCTCAAAAAGCCTTTTAATGTGTCTTTATATAGAGAGAGAGCACCGGGTGAACCTTAAAGGAGAATTCTCAACCCCAGTAATGTGGCTCTGAACTAACTTTGCACTCTTCACCTGAGGTTTAGAGATTTGGGGGGAATGGGGAGCTCATAAAGTACATTTAATTAAATTCACTTTAGTTTTATTCATATAGCACCAATTCACAGCCAAAGTCACCTCAGGACAGCTCACATAGTCACGTTATATCACAGAGAGAGACCAACAAATCCAATAATGCTCTTTGAGCAAACACTTCGGCAACTGTTAAAGGAAAAAAGTTCCTTTTAATAAGACGCAAGGACGGCAGAGAGAAGTTTTTTTTAAAATAACTTTTAATTGTTTTTTTCCTACAATTTACTGCAGATTTCTTTTGTTTTGTTAAATTATGTGAAATAAGTAGCAAAATCACAGAAAAAAGTATTAATTTACATGTTAACAGCCCCAAACTATAAATAACAAACATTCTTTTACAACTTTTTAACTTAAAATGCTATTTTCTTTGAATTTAAATCCATCATATAATGTTGTAGTTTTTTTAAATATTTGCCAGTATTTTAAAGAAAGATTAGTTATATTCAGAATTGAAAAACGGTCA